TTGAAAACCCAGAGCATTACAGTTCACAATCATATAATCCATTCAAGCAATTAGATGTAATTTCAGGTTGACAGATGAACCAAAAGGTTCGCAGACCGTTTGCCTGGTATTTGCATCTAAATGAAAATCCAAATGCATTTGTAGACTCAAAACACAAACGCTAGAATTTATTAGCAGATGCAAAGACTTGGATTGATGAAGCCTTCTTACATTATCAAAAAAAAAAAATATTAGAACTTGGTTCTACTCAAACTATAGGCAAACTACGAAACTTTTGAAAACAGGAAAGAATCAACTCTTCCCTCTTGATTAGCCCTAGCATGAAAAAGAAACCCTAGTGGAGTAGCATTGGCGTCTTACCTATAAACTATGTAAAACATAAATGTAATCTTGAAACAAATACCGAACAGAAGTCCAGTTTATCATGAGTTAACTTAAAATTAAGGTTGCTCCTAGATAGAAAGAAACTAACCGTTACATCATTCCAAGAGAAGTGGTTCTCTGAAAGGAATCCATCAATAAGAAAAATGCAAAACCTTGCTAATCTGTCCATTTGTCTCTCTGTGCGGGAATTTGGACAAACTTCCTGGTTTTCACCTGCACACTCAGAACAGATTTTCGCAGCAAGTTCATCCGTAATAGATAGGACGGCTGCACATATTTTTCCATGAATAATACATTTCTGGAAGCAAGAATCATGCCAGTCTTCATGACCAAAACCCCAATAACTTTGTGCTGTTTCAATAGATAGATCTTGGGTAACAAAATCAGTCTTGGTTTCGGTATCATCCGCTGCATAAAGCACAGGCTTTACTTCTACAGAAGCTCTACAATACCACAACCGAGAGAATATATATTAAGACACAAATTAAAAATAAAAAGGAAAAAAAAAAAAAAAAAAAAAAAGGGGGCCAAAAAAAAAACCCTTTCCCCGAAAATTTTTTCTGGATTTTTTTTTTTTTTTTTTTTTTAAATTTTTTTGTCATGTATACTGGTATTGAGCAGATGACATGTATCTTACGTTCACCATAAAGATGAAAACACAAAGGCATAAATAAAGGTGCACAAAATAGAAATAAAGCGGAGAAAGGTTTCATTCTGATGGCTGACATATAGTAGCGGTACACCCTAAACAAGTTGGACTGGTTACCTCTTTGGCAAATCGGGCACAAGGACATATAAAACAATAGAATCAAGCACTTCAGTCTTGTTTTCACCACGTAAATTTAGTAACTTCATTTGTTTCAGGAATGTGTTCAGCTTGCCCTGAATAGTGATTCTGTCTGAAGAAGGAATATATGCTGAACAGTAAATGGTGAAGAGAATGGCAGAGGTAGATATTGAACAGTGAAAGCATTTTGCCACAGCTTCACTGTTTTGTAGTGCTAGTTCAAGCTCAGCAGTAGGACCTCCACTACAGAGCAACATTGTTGGAGGGTCAAGCCCCAACTGCCCAGCCATGTGAAGTACCTCCCGGTGCAAAGTTGCCTGGAAGGAAACAAAATGAGAAATAGTGGGATCACTGAATATGAATGATTAACAATTTAAATAATATGAAAACCACGTGCATACACAAATATAAGGTATAAGTAACTTTAAAGTGTTCAACACTAACACATAGGTTCATATCAAAATTTCATCTGACAACATGGAGCAGCTACAGCACTCTTTTTAAAATTGTTATAAACACGACCAGCCCTCGTAATCCTCAAATCTGACAAGTTTCAGCAAGAAAAACCCTCATTTTGAAAGAAGAATACATTCATGCTTATTTATCTCACCTAATTTTGGAAGGAGTTACTAGACAAATCCTTGAGCTCTTTGACCTATATATGTTTATTTTTATTCCAATTAAACAACTAATGTACAAATCAACTTATTTTCCAAACTACGGTAAAGTGCATTTTCAAATCACGTTTTCATGAAAAACACACTTTTAAGCTCTTATGCCTTCATGATATAATAAATGACTGAATGAAATAACACTAAAAAAAGGCATTTAAGCATGTTTTCTAACTGTGCTTTTAGATAGTTTAGGCATTAATTATAAGTATGTTTATGATACACACTTTTAGAATAGAAGAGTGTTTATTAACGGCCGTGAGAGATGGCTGTTGTGCTCCAGACCAGCAAGGAGAATACCATGTTGTGAAGGAATACAACCCTAGTCCTGCTAAAAAAGACAGGTACATTGAGCTTAGATGCTTCAGAATCCTTGAGCAAACACAAAAATGAATCTAGATTATTTTGAACCCAAGGAGGATGACCAAATCAAGGTAACTCAATTCTTGTATTCAGGAAGATGACTAGAACTATTGCCTGGTAGGCTACTTTTGATAAGAAGATGTCCTTTGCTGTCAATTCTATAGCACAAAAGCTGCTGAGGAAGAGTGGTCCGACGGATGTCATGGCATTGTAAACCGGTTTTTTGTTGAGAGAGTCTGAAAAAAATCCTGATATGGGTTAAGTTCTTTAACTTCCCTTTTGACTACAGGAATGCACAAGGACTGAAGGCAAGTTTGGGAACTAGCTAAAATAGCTTAAAAGCTAAAAAGTCACTACCAAAAAATCAACTCTTCCCTCTACTTTTCTGCACGGTTTTTCATGAAAAGTCAAAAAGCTAACTAAAATAGCTAGTTCCAAAAACAACTCTGAGTTATACCGCAAGTATTATTGGCAAGCCTTTATAACGCCCTGACTGAGACGAAGAACAGGATTAGCTTTGCGAGAATTTGAATCAAAACTGATGTGGCCAATGAGCTCGTGGACAAGTTTGACCTGGATATGGGAGATGGGCATATGCAGAGATTAGAGCAGAGTACCAGTGGGTGCTCACCAGGTGTTTGACATGTGGTGTGATTGGGCATGATTGTGTTAAGACACCCAAACAGAAATGGAGGCCTTGCTCAGAAGCCTTGAGAAAGTGAAGCCTCTGGGGGGAAAAAAAGGAACACGAAGAGCAACAAATGGCACAAGGGAAATCATCAGACCAGGTGGCAGACAGCTACCAAATGGAGAGCATGATGCTGCAGACCTAGGGCAGGATCAACCTGTCTATACAATATAGGTAATGTCATCTACTGTTTGGGAATCTCAGGTGGCTTTGGAATCAATTAATGGTTTTGAGGGCCTAAAGGCAGAGGACTCAAACATTGAAACTCCCAGACTCCTCGACAAACTGCGTTTAAGGGGGTTGGTAGGGGAGGGTCTTTCTCTAGCAACCAAGGCAAGGAGTAGGAAGAAGATGAAGGCATCTGGCTCTAACGGGAAATCTCAGGGTGAACCCAGATATGGTATATATCTTTCCATTCTTTTTGTTAATGATTTTTTAAGTGCTAGAATGCAAGGGCTTAAATTGCCCTATACCCCAGAAGGAATGGAGCACATTCACAAATTTAATGTTTCTTTCTTTGGCCTCATGGACACCAGAGTCTGCAGTGTAAATAAAGATATGGTTTTCAATTCAATAAATAGAAACTGGGGCATGATTTCATTACAGTTGGTCTACTGTGAGTAGGATATGGGCGGTCTGGGACCAAAATGTGAGCTGCATTAGTATGAATAACCAAGTTATCTATTGTCATGTTTTTGACAAAGGGATATTACAGTGTAGTGTTTCTGTTATCTATGGAGATAATGCCCCTAAAAATAGATTGAGGCTGTGGAGGGATATTGAATTTCCGGCTGCACTCTTCCACCAAACTCCATGACTTCTGTGTGGGGATTTTAATCCTATAACATATATGCATGAAAGGAATGGCAGGTCTGTTAAATGGCCTAGGTTCATGGATGACTGCAATGATTGCTTTTTGAGGGCTGATCCTGATGATCTCAATTACTGTGGTATGCAATTCACTTGGACAAATGGCAAGGTGTTTTGGAAAATTGACAGAGCTCTTGTTAATGAGACTCCCCATGGCTGAGGCAAAATTCCTCCTGCCAGGTATCTCTGACCATAGATGTACTGTACAGATCATTTGAGTGATGCCCAAAAACAAATGCTGAACAGAAACCTCTGAAAATATTCAAAATTTGTAATATGTCTCTAAGAGAGTTACGCTCCGTATGTTTCCACGTAAAATGTTTTCCTCAAAAATATTCTATGCATTTTCCATTGTTTGGTCAAACAAAAAGGAAGTAAAACATTTTTTAAGAAATATATTTTCCATCGTAGTCCTAAAAATGATTTACCAATGAAAATCCCGAAAGTTAATTTTGAGGAAGCTCTCAGCAAGCTCAACTCTTTGACCCTTTTAGTAGATTTTACCTTTTCAACCTCAAGCTAACAAACTTTTTAAAATGGTATAATGGAGACTAGAAGAATTTTGTTTTGTCAACCAAACGCCAAAAAAATAATATAAATATATATATACATATATATTTTTTCTTTGTGCAAAATTAGTTTACATGAAAAATATTTTTTGGTGTAAAATATTTTACGTCAAATCAAATGGAGCCTTAAGTGGGGTTAGCCGGATGGTGAAGGCTTTGGGCATGTGAGTGCTCCCTCCAATATCTCAAGTTCGAAACCTCCTAGGTGCAAACAACTTCTTGAGACCAATCCATATGGGGCTTTGCCCCTGGCTTTAAATGGGCACCCTGCTAGTAGACGGTGGGATTGGTCTCCCGGATTAGTTGGTCCATTGGGCCGGATACTGAATTATCAAAAAAAAAAAAAATGGACCCATAATTGAAAACATTAATGAAGGAATCTTTATTAAAAAATAAAAATAAAAAAAGCACTTCAGATATGCTAGAATTCACACAAACAAAAATGAAAGCAATGGAACAAGATGGAGCTGGACGAGGAATAACGTGATAGCCCACAAGTTGCAGAAATACAGTGTTGATGCATTGTTCCATTGTGGGGAGACAAAATCGAATTAATTAGAAGTAAAAGCTAGAAAAATAAATACCTGGCTATACGGTCCGATGCAACTAGGAGCCCAGCAGGAGATACTTTGTACATGCAAAACTCTTTTGCTTTGATCATTTGCCACCAGGACTTCAATATATGCCCTCCCTAAACCAACTTGCAATAGGGGAAGTTCAATTGTACTGCGGGATGGAACCCCAAACTGGCACTTCTCCTGTGTAATAAATCTCACATATGTTTCATTTGCCACTGCAAACTCACTCATATCAGCTATATATAAATGAATATAGATAACGTTCTCCCAAGAGAATCTATATTCTGAAAGTTGTAATTCAATCTTCATTAGAACAACCCTCAAATCCTCTTGCAAATCTGGCAATAAAACAAAAAACTAAATTACCTGATTTTTTTTAATAAAAAAAATACAAACCAAAGACCAATAGAGAGGAGAACCAGAGCTGGCACAAAAGCGAAATACAGAGACAAATTTGTAATTCAATCTACATTAGAATAACCCTCAAATCCTCCCGCAAATTTCCAAATCAAACAAAAGTAAAATACTAGAAATTTAAAAAAGAAAAAAAAAATACAATCCAAAGGCCAATAGATAAAAGAACTAGCAGAGGCAGAAAAGGTAAAAGGGGAATGAATACATAGACAAGACAAATAAATAAAATAAAATAAATTTCAATCTTGAATGGAGTAAATCCATTAAATCATTGAGCTTCTACCTGATGAAGTTTTGCATGCATCTTGCAACCAGCAAGATATGGAAAATATATTATCCTTTTTTGTTTTTGAAATGTGAAGTTTGTGCTCAGTAACTTTAGCCAAGTCATCAACAGATTGGCACTCCACCTCACATCTTTGTAGGCAGTCCCCCAGCACTTCGCATACTGCATCCATCTTCTCAAGAAATATGCCATTGCTTCCACCACTATCACATAAAGATTCAGTCCCCAGCTTACTTTCCAAATGGAATGCCATGGTATGAAGGATCCCAACAGGAGCGATAGAATCTGAGGAGTGCAATACAATGTTGAATTCATCTAGCACAATTTGAGCATTCTGGGAGAAGAATAAACGTAAGGTAATATGGTAGAAAGAGTGGGATGAAATGAAGATCATAAGCTTGTGAAAAACTAGAGGGTGGCCCAAAGTTCTAAAAGATCATAATACAGCATGCATGGGCTTCATAGGAAAGACAACTTTTTTTCTGACACAAAAAATCACAGAGATAGAGCAATAGATATGTATCTATATAACAAAATAAGACAGTTTTTGAAAAAAAAAAATGTCCAACTTGTCACTGTGAGTGGTTATGATTAACTCAATATAATGGTTGAAAATGTCCTAGCTGGCATAGAGATATAATTGGATTCATGGGTTGAGATCAGCCCAACTCAAAATCCTCCAGCTGCAATTATTTGACGATTAGTTTGAACTTGAAAAGAAAAGTGAGATTTTGAAATTTTGCTTAGATTATCCTGCCAAAATCCTTTCTCTGACATGGCTGATTTCAAATTTGAAACTTTTTTGTACATACGCTTTCTTTTTCAATCTTTGTTTCTCTTCTCTTTCAATCACATACTCTCTCATTCTCTCTTTACTTGTCTCTCTCCATCCTAGATCCATTACTCTCCCTCCTCCCCCTTCGTCATCTCCGGCACAAAAACTCTTTTTCTTCTTCTTCTTCTTCAAAGCTTCATCGGCCACCCACTTTGGTGAAACCGTCAATATAACAATCTCGACAATATCTACAACCAAAGCTTAACCCTCACATCATTGTCGGCCTCGGTTACCTCTTTTCCAAGTATATAATTTCTGTACAAAAATTGTATATGCAATAATGTGTCAAATTAAACACTCATACTACCAAATATTTCGTACAAGTTTCACATAAAAATATATATATATATATATATATACAAAGCAAAAGGTATTCCTACCTCAAGGAAGAAAGAGATGGGTTGAAGACACAAATGTTGATGGTAATGAAAACACAATGCACTTACACCCAAATATAGCTCTCGACATGCTCTAGCTTTTATCCTCAAGAACTAGGAGTAGATTTTGCCTCTAGGTAGATGAAACCCAAGCTTGAAGCTCTTAACAATGGTGAAAAATAAGAAAGAGGGACGGTGAGAGAGAAAGAAAGAGTGAGCAAAAGGAGAGAGAGTGCTTCTATTTATAGTGGAGAGATAAAATGAATAATGGGGCCCAAGAATACATAAAATATTAAGTCAGAATACCAAAAGTAGGGCCCGAAAACATGGTTGGAAGTATTTGGGCTTTGTGGCAGGTGTCGACACCGTGAAGAGGGGTGTCAACCCTCGCATATACAGCAGTGAAAAGAGATATTCAAAACAGATAGGGTGTCGCCCTCGGATTGCCAAAATTTCAACCCCCAAAAATAGGAAGCACCAATTGGAATTCCATCTTGACAGTGTGAACATCTAGAGAGGGTGGTGTCGATCCTAAAAAGCAGAATGTAGCCATGAGAAATTTAGTGATGCTGGTGTCGATCGCAGATTGTTCCAGTGTTAACACCCTAAAACAAAATGATGAAGGAGAAAGGAACGGAAGCAATTGTTGACACCCAGAAACATAGTATTGATATCCAAATTAGATTCTCAAAGCTTCAAAACACCTTTCGACAAGTCCAAGTGCGAATTCACATCCTAATCACATATAGATTCGAATTTCCTATCCAACAAACAGCAAGCTAAGGGATTTCAATAGCTAAAATGATGGAATTAAATATATTCTAAAGGCATTATAATTCACAAGTGTCACAAAATATATGATCAAGTCTTCTCCAATAATTTGGGTATTATCAATTTAAGGTACTTCTTGTGTTTGGATTATACATTGAGTAGGGATTTGAAAATGGTCTCAAATCTAGGACATGGGGATACTGCTGTGAGTTCTCATGGAGGCTCATCGGGAGTTTTTTTCGATAATTCGAACCCTTCAAATTGTAGGGTTCGTCAAGCATATCATCCATGTAAAAAATCAAGTTGATTAGACATTCGTAGGCCCATGATCAGGTCCTAATTGTATTTAAAAATTGTAAAAACTATTTTAACTATTTATTTTTTAGAAAACAAATTACGTTGTTTGGTTCCAATTTTTTAACTCAAATTTTTTGGAAATTAAGTTTTTTTATTTTTAGTGAATTTTTTTAATATTTTAAACAATTTTTTTACTTTTTAGATAAACGAAGATGTACCTAGCAAGGAAAAAAATTGTAAAAAAAAATGTTTTGAAAAGTCAATAAATACACAAGAATATGAGAATGTATTGAATTTTTTTAATTTTTTGGTATTTGGTGAATTTTTAAAGATTTTTTTTACACGTATTATACTTTTTAAGTGTGTTTAAGGTGCATCTAAAAATTTAAAAAATTGCTTCTTATATTAAAAACAATTCAGTGAAAACAAAAAGTACAAAAAACAAAAAAAAAAAACTCAAATTTTTGAAAAGTGGATTCAAAATTCTGAAATTGGCGTTGGCCAATTTCCTTTCAGCCTCGACAGCTTTAGTTGCTGCCTTAGTTTTTTGTTCGACACCTTGTTGCTATGATTTTTTCTAATTGGTTCTTGATTGTGCCCTCGACTTTATTGAGCTAGAAAAGGTAGCCCGATGCCTCTTGGTTTTTCTTTGTCAGGTTCTTCTTCATCAACTTGGCCTTGATAGCGTATGAGTGGACATGTTGAATGGACTGTAAGAAAGCAAGTAAATTGGCAAAATTTTATTATGTATGGAAATTAAGTACAAAGGAAAGAGTTAGAAGGGTTACCAAGACTAAGTATTCATTGTAGTCATCACGAGAGCAAAGTGCTTGTATTCATTGTAGTCACTTATGGCATCCATGTCGGCAGGCAAGAGTAGGCCTATGGTTAGTGCAGTGGCAACCTTGAGGTCTCTCTTTGCGCTGTCTCTGACTTTGAGAAGCCTTTTACCAAATCTATCTCGGGAAACCAGACGTCCTTAAGGAGAACGTCCACACTTTCCACGGTTTTGCTTACGTAGTACACTATAGTTTGTTCTCATTCTTCTTCTCGAATGACCACTGCACTGACTGCATGATCTGAGACTGCCAGATACAAAAACAGTTCCTCCCCCGATTCTGGAGTGGAGAAGAGAGGTGGTGTACTGAGGTATTTTTTGAGACCTTGCAATGCTTTGGTACATTCAGGACCCCATTCAAATCCTTTTTTCTTAGTAGTTGGAAGAAGGACTTTATCCGATCTGAGGACTTGCTGGCGAACCAATTCAGGGCGGCTGCCATTCCAACCAGTTTCTATAGCTCTTTAGCCTTTGTTGGTACTTCAAGCTCTTGTATTGCTTTGATTTGATCCGGATTTGCCTCGATTCCTCTATGAGTCACCATGTACCCCAAGAACTTCCTTGTTCCTACCCCGAAAGCACATTTTGAGGCATTAAGGTGAAGCTGATGGTTTTTCAGGATACCAAAGACTTCATTTAAGTCTGCAAGGTGGTTTGTAGTGAGATTACTTTTTACTACCATATCATCTATATAAGCTTCCATGGTTTTTCCAAGTTGGTTCTTGAATATTCGAGTGATTATTCGCTGGTAGGTTGCCTCGGCGTTCTTGAGGCCGAACGACATTACTTTGTAGCAATAAGTGCCCCTTGGAGTGATAAACGCTGTCTTCTCCTGATCTGGGCCGAACAGTGGTATCTGGTGATAGCTGCTATAGGCGTCCAGAAAGCTCATACGCTCATGTCCGGCTGTTGAATCCATTAACTGATCAATACGAGGTAGAGGAAAATTGTTATTGGGACAAGCTCTGTTCAAATAGGTGAAATCAACACAGATTCTCTATTTTCCGTTCTTCTTCTTGACTACAACTGTGTTGGACAGCCATTGTGGGTA